GTTCAGCATCACTGGTCATTTGAGAAATGCAAATTAAAACAAAACTGAGATTCCATTCCACCCCCAGAAAGAATGGCTATCACCAAACACTCAACCAATAACAAATACAGGCGGACCTGGGGAAAAAAGGGAATCCTTCTCCACTGTTGGTACCAATATGGACTGGCACAACCAGTGTGGAAACCGGTGTGGAAAGCTCTTAAAAAACTAAGACTACAGGTCCCATTCAACCCAGATATTCTCCTTCTGAATATTTTTTCCAGAAGAATTAAAAGCACCAGGGGGCTGGGGAGATCGCTGAGGACCTGAGTTCGATCCTCGGTACTGCATGCTGTGTAGGACCCATGTCATGCCACCCACTAAAACTGGGCGTGATGGCACATGCCTGTAAACCCAGCACCATGGAGGCTGAGACAGGATCACTAGGAGTCCAAGCTGCATAAGCAAGACCTTGTACCAAATAAATAAATACATACAGATTTTAAAATATCATATCTCAGCAATATATGTGTACTCACGTTATAATAGCACCATTTCTAATAGCTAAATCTTGGAAACAATCCAAATGCCCATCAACCAAGGAATGGATAAAATGGATGTGTTCTTTTTATACAACAGAGAACTACCCGCCTATAAAGAAGGATAAACTTGAGACTTTTATAGATAAATGCATGCAACTTGAGACCCTACTCATAAATGAATTAAATCAGACTGGCACATTTAAACATCGCATTGTCTCCCTCGTGTAAAGACTGAAAGAGTAAATAATATCCAAAATGGACAATAGATTCTGTGAAAGGGGAACAAACTGCTTAAAAGGAAATAACAAGATGGGTGAAGGAAGAAAAGAAGGAAAGGAAAAGTTATGCAAAAGACAGGCAAGAGAAATGTGCTACTAATTTCTGTTAGTTCATTATAGAGTACAGTTTGTAATTACATTGTTTGATTAATCTTTCATGCCTATATCTTGTAATCTTAGCAACTACCTTGAAGATAGAAATACATAGTGTTTTGATACTATGTGCCATTATTTTGGTGCTTTTCTGTTTAAAATAAAAAAGGGAGGGAACACCCCCAAAATAAAGCTAACTTGCTGATTATCTTCTTTACTAGCCAAAATGCCCAACCTAAGGGACCTACACCAAACATCGTTTATCTTCCTGTGCAACTATCAATTATACCTTAATTTATCCAAGTCTTTATGGAACAAATATATTTTATCACATTTCTGTCAGCAGTTTTTCTATTTTATCGCCTTATCTACTACTATTTCATGATATTTCTCCTCCATCTCTTTCTCCAGATTATTTTTAGTCAAGATTCACATTTTCCTCACCTCATAAAAATTGTTAAAGGTGTACTTTCAGCTAATGCTGGCTCTACATACATTAGATTTAGTGTCTAATGTATCAGTGAATTGTTATATGACAATTAATCCAACCCCATTTTTATGTTATTTTCTGCATTTTTCAGCTGCCATTTTACTATAATCATCAGAAATATAATTCTTTAGTGGTAAATATTAAAATGACTATACAACAAAATTTAATACACATTATAATTGACAACAAGTAAAACTTTCATTAGATACCATAATAGTCTAAATGTACAGAGTCAATATATGCAAAATATTTAAAAGTGATCATCAAAGTATAGTCTTCCTAAGAGGTGTGAATAAATTCCTTTCTGGGAAATGTCTGAAATTTAATAACACAAGCTGGCTTATTATAAAAATCTCTCCCAGTGGGATGAAGAATTCACTATTTCTCGAGGAAAAAAATTCACTTACAGTAATGAAAGTAAAACAAAATGTAAAATGAACAGTATAATTTGGAAACTAGAAACCTTGTACTTGAATACTATGCATCTCTTGCTATCATGTAATAATATAATACTTAGAGAATAGTTGGTATTTATCATATCAATGAAGTCTCATGTCACTGTGAACTCCATAAAATTTTTATATAGAGATATATGTGGAAGTTTTACATTAATTTGGAAACTCAGTCTGTTGACCAGCTTTTCTTTCATGTTCTCAGTGGTTTCCCTTCTGTTAAAGTTTATTTATGTAACTCCTTAACCTTGGAGAAATCACTAACGCTTCAATTACTGGCTCCAACCAAGACAAGCCTTGGGAAATACGCATTAAGAAAGCAAGGCTTATCTTTAGATCCTAAGAAGCCCTTTTTAATATCTGTCTTCCAACTCCCACTTCCTGCCAGACTTTCTCAAAGTGTCCAGTACTGTTATGCTCTGCCCTTCTCTATGCCAACTGTCTTACTTGGTCTGCAGTTTGCTATCATGGTCTTCAGTAAATCTCACGTGCAGATTCAGTTCTTCATGCTACTTTCCTACTTTACTCTTACTGGCTAAGCTTTTTCATTCTGGTGCTTCACCATGTGGATAACATGCTGACAATGAACCCCAACGTCCATATGTAACTGCTTTCACGGCATACTTGTGCCTTATTTGTGTCCTTATATATAAGCATTTTTATTTAATGTCAAGTCTGGAACTACAAAAGAAGACTTTGCCTTTTGAAGTCTGTTATGGCTTGTGCCTGGATGTCCCCCAAAGCCTCATGAGATCATATGTGGGGCTTTTTCAGAGGTGGCTGGATCTAGCTAGAGTAGATCTAGGATTAAGTGATGCTAGGATTAAGTGTGTGGGATTACTAAATTATTCCACTGATTGGCTTGACATAGTTTTGGGTATGATTAAAGCTGCTGCCAGAGGGATGGCTCAGTAGAATAAGTACTTCCCTGGCAAGAGCAAGGGCCTGAGTTCAATCCCTGGTTCCACCAAAAAAATAAAGCTGCTGCACCCAGGGTGTGAGTGCTGCCTACCCTAATGTGTGGGTAGCCTAAAAAAGATATAAGGGACAGAAACAGGGTTGTTCTCTGCGCTGCTGCCTTCTGCTTTCCATAAACTGTTTCTACACTGTGATGCCCCGCAGCCATGCTACCCTACCTTGGACCCAGCAAAGCCTGAAATAAAACCTCTACAAACTGTAAGCCAAATAAACCTTCTTCTTTCAACTTTGGGTGTGGGGTATTTTGTTGCAGAAATGAGTAAACTAGGGGCTGGTGAGATGGCTCAGTGGTCTGGGGCACCTACTTAGAACAAGCTAAGCCAAGCAAAGCACAGGGACCGCGGTTCAATCCCCCAGCACCACATGCCAGCCAGCCCCGCCCCCTGGTGGGCTGAACTTGTCACACACAAAATAAATAAATAAATAAATAAATAAATAAATAAATAATTTTGGGCTGGTGAGATGGCTCAGTGGTCTGAAGCACGTACTTAGAGCAAGCTTAGCAAAGCACAAGGACCGTGGTTGAATCCCCCAGCACCATATGCCAGCCAGTGCCACCCCCTGGTGGGCTGAGCTGGCCACACACACACACACACACACACACACAAATAAATAAAAAAAAATTTAAAAAAATAAAGAAATAAGTAAACTAATTAAGACAAAGTCCAAGATACATAAAACCGTATTTAACTTAAAGCATGATCAAAGTAATTCTTTCCTAAAAAAAATTCCAATCACTGTTATGATTCTTTTTCAGTGTATGTATTCCCTTGAAGTGCAGTTGGCTTTATATATGTCCCTGTAACTTCAGTGGCTAGGCCTACAGACATCTATTCCAGATCTATATATTTTGTAGCATTATGGAATCATTCTGTGTGGGCATTCTGATAAATGATACTTCAAATGTCACATACTGGAAATTTAACATCTTTGTATTTCAGTTTTGTTATTATTAATGGCAAACCTTAATAATAACTCAGTACTTAAATAATTGATTTTTCCCTCTCTTGCATTTTCATATTTCCCTGATTTTTAAAATGTTTCTTATCATCTTTTCATCAACATTTCCAGATGTCTCGTGTTCATTCTAGCTATTAGGTCCTCATTTCCTTGTCTCTGTAAACACCAGCCAGCTTTCTCCTTATATCGAGAAAAGCTTAACTCTTTTATTGTATTTTACTTTCTGTATTTTAGCGAAGGGTCTGCAGGATGTTTAGGGTCTCACCGTGTAGATCAGACTCATAGTGATCCGCCTGCTTACAGCCTCCCAAGGGCTGGGATTACAGGCGCGGGCCACCATGGTCAGTCTCAGCCAGTCTCCACAGTCTCAACTGCTGTCTCAATACACACCAGCCCCTGGGCCTGCTTGCTCGAGAATTTACATCTTGAGATTCCACAACAATAAACATTTAAGCTACTCAATAGAGGAGATGGATTATTAACAGCAATAAATTCCAATTTAAGACTTAATTATTTGGCAAACTAAATTAGATTACACATAAGGTAATTTTCTTTCTTTCTTTCTTTCTTTCTTTCTTTCTTTCTTTCTTTCTTTCTTTCTTTCTTTCTACTGGGGATTGAACTTAGGACCTTGCACTTACCAGGCAGGTACTTATGCCTTTGAGCTATACCTGCAGCCCTATACCTCATTAAAATGAACACCTCATTTCATCCTCATAATCCAATGAATCAGCAATTATGATCCCTGTTTTCTGGATTAAGAAATGAGGTACCCAGGGCTTGGAAGATACTTTGGCAGCCTAACCACCTGCCTAGCAAGCTCAGGGATCTGGGTTCTATCCCTGGTACTGCATGCCATGCCAGCCTCTCCCAGGTGTATCAGGTGGGCCACGGAGACCAGGTGTGGTGGCACATGCCTGCAATCCCAGCACTGGGGAGGCTGAAACATGAGGATCACCATGAGTCCGAGCTGCACAGCAAGACCCTTTGCTAAATAAATGATTTTTAGAAAAGAAAGAAATGACGTACTCAGGTTAAGACCCCAGGTTTCACAGGGCTGTGTGGAGGAAATAGAACTTGAACAGCGGCTGTCCCCCCAGGTGCTGCACACTGCAGCCATACTGAGTGTTGGCGGTGTGCAATTTTATGCTAATGATTCAACAGCCCTCTACCTCCAGCAACTATGACAGATGTGACAAGTATTATTTCACAGATGTCCCATACTTACAAGGAATGTCCCTGTATCCAATTTCCAATGCATGAAAGTAATTCATAAATTCTCTAACTGGAATTTTAAAAGCTTCGAAGAGGCCCATGTCTTCAAAAAGTCTGTATGAGACCTGCAAACCAAAA